ATCTATCTATCTATCTATCTATCTATCTATCTATCTATCTATCTATCTATCTATCTATCTATCCATCCACCCATCCATCTGACTACCCATATCAATCTCATGACCGCATGCCACAGGGGATAAGGAGCTGGGCTTAGAGCCAGGCAGACCTGGGTTTAAGTCCTGTCTCTGACACATCTTGGCTGGGTGACCCTAAGCAGGTCCCTGAGCCTCTCAGTGCCCTGGGGAGCTCTGTGATTTTGTATTACAGAGCTGGTGCTGACATGCATTGATAGAGGGAGGTTCTTTGCCTAGATTAGTGAAATCCTAGGTCTGGACAAAAATAAAGTGTTTGTGTATGTGTGTGTGGTCAGTGACACTGAGTGGAGACACACCTAAGAGAGTTAGCCAAGGAATCAAGGCTGCCTGGCTCTGCGGGCCCTGCTCTTATTTGCTCCCCAGGGCATGAAGCCACTGCCTGGCAGATGAGCGACCACAGCCCCACTTCTCTGGACTTGCAGATCACGGTTACCTTCATTGAAACACCAGTCCCAGGGTAGCTAGGTGGCACAGTGGATAGAGCACCGGCCCCGGAGCCAAAAGGACTTGAGTTCAAATGTGACCTCAGACCAAACACTTGACACTTACTAGCTGTGTGACGCTGGGCAAGTCACTTAACCCCAATTACCTCACTAAAAAAACAAAAAGCAACAACAAAAAAAACCAAACCACCAGTCTCTTCACGGGCTACTCAGCTCTCCCGGCCAGGATGGGGAGATCCCATCTGCACTGGATTCTGTTTCTTACTGATCCTCTGGTGCTGTGTGCTTGCCTCAGTCCCCCGATCCGACACAAACCCTGAGTACTTCTGAGAGTCTCGGCACTTGGTCGGAGCCGGGGAAGCTCAGCCTCTCACCCAAGGCTGGCAGGTTTTGAGACAGGGATGGCTGCTGTGGGTTTTTGTTTTCCCTGAGACGATTCCTGGTCCACATCTAATTAGCCTGGTCTGCTTGGCCTGTAGCTGAGGCTTATGGGTTTTTTTATTGTTGTTTTCCCCCAGACCTGAATTGAGGTCAAGAACAGGCCATGTCCTAAGGAAACCAAGTAATATCCTCATGTATAACTGGCCTCTGGTTTATTAGCCAGAGCTGGAGAAAGGTTTGGAGACCAGAGAGCCTCATCAGCAACCTGAAGTCATTTCCTGGACTTCAATTTTTAAAAAACTGTTTCATGTGCACATGCTGAAACACTACAGTGATTCCCAGCCCTGATGGCCACCCTGAGGGTATGGCAGGGGTGTGGGGGAGCAGGGGAGCAGGAACCTTTGCTTATCTACACAAGCAGCAATTTGTTTCAGGATATCAAGCCGCATGCTGTCCATGCCATCTGGGACATCAGCACCTCGCTTTTCTGTTGTCCTCACTCCAGCACCTGATTGCTGAAGACAGCATGGTGTAGTGGAAAGAACATTGAACTGGGAGTCTGGAGTTCTGGGTTCTAACCCAGAAGCTTCCACCACCAACTCAGTGGTGACCTTGGGCCATAACATCCCCTCTCTGGGACTCAGTTTCCCCTTCTATAAGATGAAGGGCTTGAACAAGATTAGTGGTTTTCAGACTTTTTTTTTTTTGCTCCCAGCCCAATATTACTCTTTGCTATGATGAATTTCAGAAAGTTACAGGATGGTCTAAGATTCATTTGCATATGATTTTAAGCTTCATGCAACTCAGGGCACTCCTTGGGAAGCTTGGGGCCCCCTGGAGTGTTGTGACATAACCTTTGAGGGCCACTAGACTACCTAATCACAAGGGCCCCTCCCCTTCCAGCTGTGGCAGCCTATGGGATGGCATGTCATTCACCTTTCCCCTGGTATGGACCACCATGGGAAGTGATCCATTCAGAGAAGATGGAGACCTGGACAAGATGGAGACCTGGGACCTAGAGCTGGGATATGCATAGACCAGCAATGAGAGCAAGAAGGGCCAAGATGATTTTTAATGGTTATCACAGTCAAAGGATACAAACAGGCAGTTTTCAGAGGAAGAAACTAAAGCTATCTATAATCATACAAAAAATGTTCTAAATCACTATTGATTAGAGAAATGTAAATCAAAACGACTCTGAGGTACCATATCATGCCTATCAGATTGGCTAATATGACAAAACAGGACAATGATAAATGTTGGAGAAGAGGTGGGAAAATTGGAACACTAATGCATTGTTGGTGGAGTTGTGAACATTCTGGAGAGCAATTTGGAACTATGCCCAAAGGACTATAAAATTGTGCATACCCTTTGACCCAGCAATAGTACTTCTAGGTCTGTATCCCAAAGAGATCATAAAAATGGGAAAAGGACCTACATGTACAAAAATATTTATAGCAGCCCTTTTTGTGGTGGCCAAGAATTGGAAATTGAGGAGATGACCGTCAATTGGGGAATGGCTAAACAAGTTGTGGTATATGAAATGTAATGGAATACTATTGCTCTATAAGAAATGATGAGCAGGCAGACTTCAGAAAAACCTGGAAAGACTTATATGAACTGATGCTGAGTGAAGTGATCAGAACCAGGAGAACGTTGTACATAGTAACAGCCACGTTGTACGATGACTAATATTGATAAACTTAACCCTTTCCGGCAATACAAGGATCTAAGACATCTCCAGAGGCCTTGTGATGGAAAATGCTATCCACCTCCAGGGAAAGAACTATGGAGTCTGTATGCAGATGGAAGCAGACTATTTGCTCTTCTTTTCCTTTGTTGTTTTATTTTATTGCTTCATTCTCATGGTTCCTCCCATTAGTTCTAATTTCTTTTTACATCATGACTAATGGGAAAATATGCTTAATATGAATGTATAAGTAGAGCCTGTATCAGATTGCATGCCATCTTTTGGGGGTGGAGAGGGAGGGGGAGAAAATTTAAAACTCAAAATCTTATGGAAGTGAATGCTGAAAACTAAAAATAAATTAATTATTAAAAAAATAAAAGTGGGAGACTTTCAAACCAAAAATAAATGGTTATTACAATAAGCAATAAAGAAATGGGTGGTGGTATAAAGGATAGAGAGCCAGCCTCAGAATTAGGACACTCTGGGCCCAAGTCTTGCCCCTGACGTGTGTCCCTGGCCAATTCAGTGCCCAAGGCAGCTCTCTAAAAGACTAGAAGCGACAGACAAGGTGCTGACCTGCATTGCTGGAAGGCTTTTTCTCACTGGGAGTTACCAAGACCAGTGAAATTTCAGGTCTGGTCCCTTCCCCACCACCAAGAAAAAAATCACAATGAACAAGAACAAGATGAGGAAAACCTTCCTAGGCTGGGGTAGAGAGGACTCCTGGCCAGTAGGTCATGAGATCATGAGAACTGTTTCTGGGGGATGCTGAGCTGGAGGAAAGAGGAGACATTTCCAGGTAGGGCTTCATGGGCATGGGAGGGGTAGTCCTGGGTATTCTCACCTTGGGGTACAGGATGGGATTGAATTTCAGTCCCACGGCATCATCACAGAAAGCCTGCAGAAAGACAAGATCAAGCTTGAGAGACTGACCCTGGCCTCCCTTTCACACACACACACACACACACACACACACACACACACACACACGTGCATGCATGCACACACACGTGCACACACACATGCCCACATGCACACACACACATGTACCATTCCTTTTTTCTCTGAGGGAAAAGAGACCATGTCCTTCCCAAAATGATCATGGAATATCCTCCCCACTCTTTGGGATCTACAAAAGGACCTCTCCCCCAATTTCAGAATTACTTAGTGAGGAAGGGAGGCCTGTTAAGTATCCCCCACCCCAGGACTTCTGTTTCCACCCACACACCTACTCATGTACCCTTTATTCCCTCCCTAACATCCATGGCTCTTTAATTGACTCTCTCACAACTCAGATCACTCCATGGCCACCATGTTTCAGCAAGCAACTCCCTAGATGACCTTATTTAGGAAGAGTGACATTGGGAATCCACAGGGCCCATTAGAAAATTCTTCAGGGGGCCAGAGAGCATGGCTGAATGTGGGAGGGAGGAGAGGGGAGCTTGTGTTGATGAAAAGAAGAGAGAAATCTGCTGTTATCTAGGGAAGTACTGTGATTCTCCCAACCATGGGCCTTGTTCCTTAGGGCTGAGCTCATCCTCTGTAGTCATTGAAGGCTCTTCCCCCAGCCCAGATCTCCCATAGTACCTCTCCATTGGAACCCAGGAATGGGGAATCAGACACAGCATTTACTTCTGGGTCTCTTCCTGGCATTGATGACTTCTCAGAGGCAAGGAATTCAGGAGAAAGGGCAACTTGATGGTAAGGACGTCCATCCTTGCTATTTTCCAACTTTATGTCTGCTCCAAGGTCTAACTCACCATGGTCCCCAGAATATGTCCCGTACACAGAACCACAGACTAGGGCCAACCTGAGGCAAAGCTATGCTCAATACCAAGGGGATTTAGGGGGCCTGAGAGGTTGCCCTTCCTACCCTGACCCTATGGTTGTGAGTCTGGAATGGCCCTCTATTATTACCTAGCCCCAAGCCCACTCACCAGAGCTATAACCAGGAATTTTTGTCCCTGGTCAAGCAGCACAAATTATGTTTTATTTGGGGATTTGGGGGGAGAAGCAGAGACTCTGAGACATTGCCATGAGCCTGCTGCTGGGGGAAGGTCTGGTCTAGAAGCAGGGCAGAGTAGGGGAAGAAATCCATTTTCTTGCACAATGTGAGGTCCACCTGTAGAGGATTTCTGAAGAGTAAGGAACAGTAATACCAACTAAGTGGTTGGGACCACCTCACCTAGCCTGCCAACTAGCAGTTGTCTATCTTAGCTAATTGTTCTGACTAGCTAGGAGTGAATCTTCTTTGTTCCTATGTGCCAATAGGCCCAAAGTGCTGCCAGTGTCCTCTCAATCTAGCACCCTTCAAATTCGGTGTCCTAGGAACAAAGCCCTTATGGCCCCACCCTAGTTATAGCTCTGGCCCTCACAGCCATGAAGTCAGGCATCAGCAGAACTCCAAGCAGAACCCTGGTGGCGCCCATGGCAGGCATGTGTCACCCACTAAAAAGGACAGTCCCACTGCCAAGTTCTGATGGGTCCGAACCCCACAACTGGCCACCCCTCCCCCCTAGAGCAGCCAAGGTTTCCCAGACAAGTCTGCTTTCATTTTTGGTTTATTTACCTTTGCAATCTGAGGGATGCTGGGGAGCTTGCTCAGTCCTGCCAGGGGAATCCGCTCATGAACCGTTTTCACTTTGGACCTAAGGGAAGATGACCGCACAGTGAGACAAGGATCTCCGCATTGACTGGGGGTTCGGGTGCAGAGGGAGGGAGAAGAGCGCCTAATTTCATATCCTAGATGTACTTAGGTTTGGGGCAGCTAGGCGGCGTAATGGATAAAGCACTGGGCTTAGAATCTTCCTGAGTTCAAATCCAGCCTCAGACACTTACTAGCTGTGTGACCCTGGGAAAGTCACTGAACCTTGTTTGCCTCAGTTTCCTCATCTGTAAAATGAGCTGGAAAAGGAAATGGCAAACCGCTCCAGTATCTTTACCAAGAAAACAGCAAATGGGGTCACAGAGAGTCAGACACAACTGAAACAACTCACAACAACAACACTTAGGTTTTAACAACCAGATTTTTATACATCAAATTTCTCCTCTGATGCTAATTAGTGGTGTGATCACCCCAGGCCTCAGTTTCTCCCTCTGTAAAATGAAGGGATTGGTATGTTCTCTGTCATCCCTTTCAGCCCTAGATCTATGATTTATAATCCTATGAATCCTACTATAAATGCTTTGGGGAGCGGGCTATTTAAAGAATCCCTGTGGGATGAATTATTCCATAATGCAAACAACTTCCCTCAGATCCATCTGTTGGGTAAGTCTGGGTACCCAGGTGTACCCCCCTTTGAGCAAACCCAGTATCTAGAGGACTTTACATAGCTACAGAGCAGGGCCAGCCTCGATAAGAAAGGATGGTAGAATTGGAGGGGACATCAGGAACCCCCCCTCATTTTACAATAGGGAAACTGAGGCCCCAGAGAGAGAGAGACGGTGATTAGTCCAGGGTCATGGAAGTGAACGTCGGTGCCAGGACCAGAACGCGGGTTCTGACTCTCAGCATGCTGTTCTCCCTGCTATAAATCAGACAAGAAGGGGGTGATTATTTTCTTTACGACTAAAGGACCCCTTTAGAGACCAAGTGCCCTTCACACACGTAAAATCAAATTCTCTTTAGAGATCTTAGAGGAGCCGTGGACGGCTCTCCTCGAAACCTACTTACTGGACGCTTCGAGGCTGTCTGTGTGGGATTTCTGTAAAGGAGGGTCCAGCCGGTCCCATCGACATCATGGCTGGGACACGAGATGCGGAGGGCCCTAGGCAGACCGCTGCTGGAAGCTCAATGCCATTCCCCACTTTAGAGCTAGAAGGGACCTGAAAGGCCACTGAGACCCTAACTTTCATTTCATAGTTGAAGAAATTTGGGTCCCGAGAGGTCAATGGCTCTCTCAGGATCACTTGGGTGCATGTCTCTGCTTGCCCTCACATCCCTCCTTCGGGCAGAGGCAGGATGGAGGAGCCCCGTGTCCCCGCTATGTGCCCTGGGTTTGGAAAGACATAGGAATTCCACCCCCAGAAGTGCCACTGGGGACATCACCCCATTTCAGATGAAGTTCATGGTAACCCTAAATAGCATTTATACAGGCAGCTAGGTGGCGCCATAGTGCACAGAGCTCTGGCCCCGGAGTCAGGAGGACCTGAGTTCAAACGCTGACCTCAGATACTTATTAGCTGGGTGACCCTGGCAAGTCATTTAACCTTGTTTGCCTCAGTTTCCTCATCTGTAAAATGAGTTGGAGAAGGAAATGGCAAGCCACTCCAGTATCTCTACCAAGAAAACACCAAATGGGGCCAACAACAACAAAAACATTTATATGATGCATTCAAGTTTATAGAAGGCTTTCTACACATTATCCCATTTTAGCCTCAAGAGGGAGGTGTGATTATGCCCATTTTACAGAGAAGCAAACTGAAGTTCAGAGATGTTAAAGTCGTCACATTGCTAATAAAAGTCAGAGGCCTACTAGGCCTTAAACCAAGGTCCTGTATTCCATCTACTATGTCATGCTGCTGCTCAAATACCCTAAGGCCTTCCAAATGTCACACAGTCTCCTGGCACAGCGCCTGGCTAACACTAAGTGTTTCATAGGTTCATAAAGTTATAGCTACATGAGGTCTTAGGGGGCATCTAACCCAACTCCCACTCCCTTTGGCAGATGAGGAAACCGAGGCACAGACAGGTTATATGACTTAACTGGAGTCACATAGCTAGAAAGTGTCTGAGGTGAGATTTGAACTCAGGTCTTCCTGACTCCAATTAATAGTTGATTGATTAGTTGGTTGATTGACTGGGATTAAAGGGGTGGTCTGAAGTTAGATCAGCAGAATTTTTTTTTCTCTGATTCCCTCATGGGGATCATGAAACCCATGACCTTGGCCTCATCGGTGCCTAAGTATGCTCAAACCCACTGAAGAAAACTCATCAGCCTAGGCTGAAAAATATACCAAAGTGAGTGAGTACAGAGCCCATGGCTGCTCCAGATGAAGGGCTCCAGCACTGGGTAGGCTTGGAGACAGCCCAAGGATGTAGCTGAGCCAGTGTTCCTCATCTCAGCAAGACAGACGCAGGGTGGCCGTGTCTGTATCAAGGCCATGTCCAGGACCATATCCCCTGGTCTGCTCAGAAGGGCAACCCTAGTGCAGACCCCAGGCCCCCAGCAGCATCGTGGTTCTCACCTGAGGATGATTCGCAGGTACTCTATGCCTTCAGCCTCTTCACATTTGATGGACAGAATCAAGTTTCCCAGACTACTGGCAGTACAATAAAAATTTAAATGATCCTAGAAACAGAAAAAGTATGTCAACTTGGAAAACCTGGTGCTGTCTGTCCATCCCTTATTTATATACCGAAGTCTCCAAAGTCTCAGCCAGGAACTGAGTGCCCTCAAAGGAATGGGGAGAGCTTGGAAGCCTAAATTTTACTGCTAATGATGTGTGTGTGTATGTGTGTGTGTGTATGTGTGTGTGTGTGTGAGTGCACGCACATGTGTGTGTGCAAGACCTGTGAACTTTCTTGCTAATTTATACTGTGTGTATGCGTGTGCACGTACACATCCATGCATCCTCCCCACCAAATTCAATCATGCTTATTTGCCACCTGTCCTTAACTATGCTGTTTTCCATTTTTGCATCCTCAAGGCCTAATGCCTTGTACAAAGTACGTGTTTAATAAATGTTCATTGAATTGGATCAAAGGGAAAGTGTGCTGTTGACAAGAACTGGGAACTTTCTTACTAGTTTATACTAAGTGTGTGTGTGTGTGTGTGTGTGTGTGTGTGTGTGTATGTGTGTGTTTTGGAGATGAAAAGTAATTTCGTCTCTTAATTTCTTAAAACCTCATTAATTCCTTAAAGTTTTTTTTAAAGCATCTGCTTCTATAGCTAGTGCTTATAAAAGATTTTTTAAAAAATTAAATTTGTGATCTTATATAAATTAATTTAAATTCTACTTTGTTCACCTAAACTTAACATGTTCTTGACAAATTTTTTAATATCTGGTGTCACTAAGCTCACAGATTGTATATAGTACCACATTTTTCAGCTTTTTAAAAAAATATAAAAATCAAGACAGAGCTGACATTTTTATAAATTTGGTTAATAGTTTTGAATATTTATATATATGATTACTTTATGTAAATAAAGGTTTTCTGCATAAAAAAGGGAGGATAGAAGACAGTTGGAACGGGCAGGTAAGTCTGAATCATAGAATGTGTTTAAAGAGATGTCATTTGGTGACTTTCAAGCCCTCCATAGCTACCGAAGTGTTGCCAGGTCTGGGTGCTGCTTTGAAGAACAAATAAGGATGATCTGTACAGAGATTGTTGTTAATGGTGGTGAAAAGACTCCAGTCAGCAAGGGAAAGGCACATAAAGGAGGGGTGCACACCAGTATGTTGATTGCTCTGGTGACAATAACAACCCTCTGAAGTTATGCAAGGTAGGTAGTGTGGTGAGGTGTTATAGATGAAAGATTACAGACCCTCAGAAATGGGGAGACCTGGAGACCACAAGTCTGAGCCCCTGACTTACGCAGGATTCCCCTCTCTAAGAGCCCTGCCAAGCAGCTACCCAGCCTCCCTGCCTTCCAGGAAAAGAACTTCTCCTCCACCATCCCACCTCCCAAGGTGGCCCATTCTACTCTTCTTCCTTGGGATCACAGATTTTGAACCCAGGTCCTTTGACTCCTAATCCAGCAGACTTTCCACTGTCCCATGTTGCTTCTCACATGACACTCAAGTCTCTCTCTTTCCACCTCCCACTCTATCCTGGGGCTGAGTAGGAGATGTAGAGTGCCTCTTTATAGACAGATGAGAGGCCCTCTCATGTACCCCTAGAGTTTCCAGGCTAAATGTCCTCGGGTCCTTCAGCTTATCCTTACCAGGTGGAGTCTCTAGGTCTCTCAACATCCTGGGTTCCTTCCTCCAGACGTGGAAACTAAGGCTCAGTCAGGGGACCTGACTTACCCGGGCCATGAGGCACCCTCTGCTAACTCCATGACCCAATTCAGAAGCCTCACTTTTAAAACAAAATGGCGCAAAAGTGAGCCGCTGTGACTACAACTCATTTCCTAGAATCATAGATTGACAGCATGAAAGGACGTCAGAGACCATCTGGCCATTTTCTGAGAGGGAAACTGAGGCCCAGGAAGATTCTACAGTAGCCTGTGGTCTCTTCCAACTCTGAGCTCCTGTAATCCTGTGATAACAGCTGGATTAAAAAAGGAATCAGGGTGGGTCCTCTCACTGGACCCCAAACCCGTGAGATCCCAGTGAAGGAGGCTTTACCAGGCAGCCAACTCCCAAACACTCATGCTGAAGGGAAGAAGTTGAGGTACAGATAGCCCTACACACTGAATAACCCAAGTGGTTTGCTTTTTTTTTCTTTTTTCCCATTTCTTTTATAATCTTTTACACAATTATTTTTTTTCCTGATGCTGCTACCTTCTAAACGATCCTTTTCCTTAGGTTGACCATCCCATCAAGTTGCTTCCCTGTAACACAATGATAGGGACGGAAACATAAACATGAATCCTGCCCCTCTCCCTATATGGAGGGTGAGTCACTATTTGGACCACTGTCACCGGTGGCGGTATGCTGGTAAATGTTTAATAACCAGCTCCCTGAGGGGGTGTGGGGGGAATGTACAGTGGTACACACTTTTAAATTGAATCTGAAATTCAGACCATCAACAAAACCAAAACCAAGCCCCAATGTGTAGCCTTTGGCAATTTCCAAGGCAGGCATAAATTCTCACAGTGGAAGTTTAACAGCCAGCTCTTGGGAGCTCCAGCTCACCTCTGTTCACCAGCCATGACCTTGGAGTCTTCTAAGAAAGGAGACAGAAAATTGGGAAAGGGAAGAGGAGGAGAAGGAGAAGGAGGAGGAGAAAAGGACTGGCAGGAGGGGAGAGGGGACGGGAAGAATAAGAGGAAGGGTCTATGGCAGGTCCTCCCCCAGGCCTGTGGCCTGGCCTCCCATGCTCACCTTCCCTAGGAAGTATTTCCTGTACGCCCGAGCTTCGCCCTTGCACTCCAGCCTGTAGCCAAACATGCCGGGGCTGAGGTTTTCCTCCTCCTCCTCGAAGATGCTGCTGTCGGACGACGTCGGTGTGCCGATGTTTTCTGGGTCTTCGATCCAGTAACCCCCAAACTGGGGCAGGATGACCAGTGGGTAAGGGCCTCCTTTTTCCACAATCTGGAAGCAATGGGGAAGGCCCATATTAGTTTCCTCTGGATGCCCTGTTGCAATAGGAGGGCTTCAGGAGTAGTGACTGAAGACCGGAGTGACAGAGGCCAAATCTGAGAGGCTTCATAGACTCAGAGCCTGAAGGGTCTCAGTGGCCATCTGGTCTAATTCTCCCATTTCACAGATAAGGAAACCGAGGCCCAGAGACTTTAAGTGATTTAGAAGCACAGGAACATAGATCTAGAGTTGGAAGGGGCCTCAGCGGGCTCATTTTACAGATGAGGAAACTGAGGCCCAGGGATTTTAAAAGACTGCCCAAGGTCACACAGTAAGTGGTAAGGCCAGCTCTATAGCTACAAAACCAGTGCTCTTTTCACTGCCCCAAGGAGTAGGGACGGGGCCTTTGTGCCAGGAAAGAATGAGAGTGTTTACTTATCCTTTCTAATAGCTTTTCCCCACTCTCTGGACTCAACTACTCAGGGTATCCTCAGAATGATTACGGATTATCAATCCCTTTTTACAAATAAGGAAACTGAGGTCCAGAAAGTGACTGACCAAAGGTTCCAGGGCATGTCAGTGATAGAAAAAGGACTAAAATCCAAGTCTCTGGACTCCCAGTCCCAAGAATCTTTGCACGGAGACCACCCTTCTCATAGAATCATTGGTAGGGACGACTTTTCTCTCCTTCCATCGTCCCAGATGATTCTCTACAGAACAATCTGCAGTTTAGCTGGGAAAGAGGCTCCTACTCACCTCATCAATGCTGGGATATGGGATGTAGTCATCCTAAAAGACAAATCAGAAGTCACTGCTTTTATTCCCTGATGGTACATGAAGGAGCTCCTTATGCCTCTAATTGTTTTTTAATTTTAAAGAGTTTTATTGATATTGTTTGTTTTCACATCATTGCCATTTCTAGATAAACCTCCTTGGGAGCCAGCGAGCCTTCCCTTTCCCACAGAAAAAGGGTGAAGCCAAGCCAACCACCATCAGAGGTGGCTGACCGCTTCTCTAGGTAAAGGTGGAGGGTGTATTTCTCCGTCTCTTCTCAGGGCCATCAGTGGAAATGACAACGAGCCAGCATTCGGCTTGGTCTGATTGCTCTCCTTTCCTACACGATTGAAGCCATTTTGTTCATCATTCTCTTGGTTCTCTGCCTACTTCACTGGGCATCAGTTCAAAAAGGTCTTAGCCAAATGTCTCTGAACTCTTCATATGCATCACTTTCCTGTGGGGCAGTGATTTCCAAATACATCTATGTGCCACAATTTGTTCAGATGCTCGCCAGTCAGTGGTCACACACATAGCTTTTTTGTTTGTTTTGTTTTGGCTTTTTTTGGTGAGGCAATCAGGGTTAAGTGATTTGCCCAGGGTCACACAGCTAGTAAGTGTCAAGTGTCTGAGGCTGGGTTTGAACTCAGCTCCTCCTGACTCCAAGGCTGGAGCTCTATCCACTTTGCCACCTAGCTGCCCCTCATAGTTTCTTTTTCCTTTTCTATTCCTTTCTTTCTTTCTTTTATTCTTTCTGTTTCTTTTGTTCTTTTTCTTTCCTTCCTTCCTTCCTTTTTTCTTTCTTTCCTTCTTTCTTTCTCTTTCCTTCTTTCTTTTCTTTCTTTCCTTCTTTCTTTCTTCTTTCTTTCTTTCTTTCTTTCTTTCTTTCTTTCTTTCTTTCTTTCTTTCTTTCTTTCT